TTTTCATGAGGCTACTCAATGGTACATGCAGCTCCATCCAGACAAGTGGCGAATGTACGTTAAAGAGCGAGGCTGGGACCTCTGCGGAGCTGCTGCACTCAAGCATCCACAGCCAGGAGAGAGACAATGGGAAACTCGCTAAGATGGCTGGCCACAGCGCTGAGAAAAAGCAGTTTAGCAGCTAGTTCATGGGAAATAAAAAGGAACTAAATATTGCTCCCTGCTCAATAAAGTATTAAAAATGTGTCTCTTTAAAATCGCTCTGAACTTTACAATGTCCTTGTATAATTTGCGGCAGGGGGCGGGGGATTTCTAAATGTAATAGTTCATGCTCCTAAAATGACCTATCAGGTTCAATCTCTAAGCACCTAATTCTACAACTTGAGCTGAACTGAACAAATGCCTCAGGATGAGCCTCCAGGGAGGCATTCAGTACATAGGGTCATAGAGTGGTATGAGGTTCCCCTTGCAGAGTTGCCTGTTGACAGAGCCCTTGTTGGGGAGCACATCAGGGTACTGTGGACTGGGCAGGAGAGACATGCCTCCAAACCTGCACAGCTCTGTCCCAGAGCCCAGCACTTCCTCAGAGCAACTTAGGAGCCAGACAGCACCTGGATGCTCCCTCTCTGTGCCCCAGCAGCACAGAAGCAGCTGTCTGCAGACATGTCAAGTGCCATCTCCTGTGACACTCACATGAGGGTCACTGATGCATTTGTAGAGTCCAGGCTGAAGGCCGCATACTCCTCTGGGCTCTGGGAAACAGGAGGACTTGTGCTGCAATAAATCTTTCTATGCACCTGCCGAGCAAGCAACCTCGCTGCTCCCCAGCCTCCAGGAAGCACTGAGGGGTAAGGAGACAGAGTTACACCTGCCTCAAAGGTGGGTATGGGAAGAAGCAGAGCTAAAGGGTAACAGCCATGCTATAGTGTTCCCCCTAGGTTCACGCCAACAACCACCTGGCTCCTTCCCATTGTTGAGCTAGGTTCCCCCACGACAAAGCTGCCTCTGGCTTACTACAGGCTCTCCCACTGCCCTGTTGAGAGAGAGGTAAGGAATGCCTTTTGCCCCCGGCTTCTAAGTGGGGAGCCATGTGTGACCCCAGCTCCTTGACAGTCACTTGAGAGTATATCTACATTGCAATTAGACACCTGTGGCTGGCCTATACCAGCTGCTTTAGGGCTTGGGCTGCAGGGCTCTTTCATTGCAGTGTAGACTTCTGTAGCTTCAGCTCTGGGACCCTCTGACCTCACAGGCTTGAACGTGGAAGTCCCAAATCCACCCTCAGCCACGTCACTGGGATTGTAGGGAGGTCACTGAGGCAGAGTTGGTCCCCAAGAATGCTGCCTTGTGTTCTCTTTCTTTAATGTATATTCCTGGTGTCCCCATCGTATGAGAGGCTGGTGATAGCAGGTTGTAAAGAGTTCATTTCAAGGTCATGCATATCATCTTCTGGGCAAATTTGTAATTATAAAACTCACCTGAAACATCTTTAAAAGCAAACACATCCATTTGATGTTTGGAACCCTGGGAAAACAAGTAGAAGGGCATTAAGGGGGGGAGGAACCATGAGATTCTCTCATCCAGTCTCCTGATCTTCCATCTGTAATAGTTCATGCTCCTATCCTGGGACCCCATTTAAATCGGGATTCCAGCACAGACAGCTGTGGAGTGGCCACTCTGTGGCCATGAGATGGAAAGCCACAGTATTATTGATTATTAGTGTTTTCAAATCCACCAGAAGGACTTCCGTTGATTTCAAGGGACTTTGAACTGGATGTGCAAGTCTTGATGGTTCTGCTAATTTAGATTTGCTTTTATATATAACCTTCTCATAGGCAACATGGCAGAAATGAGTTTTTAAGAGTTGTTCCCATAGGCCTCAATCCCACAAACATTGAAGCATGCACATAGCTTTAGTCACAAGAAGGTTCAGATGCGTTCAATGGGATTACTTATATGAATAACATTAAGCAAGTGATTGGGTGTTTGTAGGTTCAGGGAGTTAGTCCTTCACCTGAACAAAATAGTTACAGTTTCCCCCTTCACTGAGTCACAACAGTCAAAGACAAATCTCTCCTGCCCTGTTGCTAAACTGCTTTTTCACTGGAAGAACTGAATTAAAATCCACCCTCCCCACCCAGACTCCAAAGGTTTTAGAAACAGAAAACCACAAAAGCTTTTCATGTCACAGGACTTAATTTTCTATCTCAGTTGAATTTTAATCAACAATTTATCCACATGCTTTTTTTTTAAAAAAAAAAACCTGATCTTTAAAATAATTGTAGCAATTTTTCTTGGAAGCAGAGAAGAGTCTGACAAACATGCACATGGCAGAGACAGGATCGTCGACTAATGTATGTATCAAATCAGTACCACATCATACAGAGTATTTGTCCATGTGCATAAATCAGTGAACAACCTCTCAAGATTGTTGGGCAAATGTTTTCTTTCCAACCTCAATCCTGTATCTGTAATCTGTGACTTGTTGCATTGTCTGTGTCAGAGCCTTACCCAGGAGCCCTTGCTTTCATGAGTAGCGCTATTGAGGCCAGTAGGACTACACATGTAAAGGCCTCAGGTTTGGGCCATAAATCAGACACAAACACAGAATTCAGTGGCACTCAAATAATCAAACCCCACTGCATCACTTCTTTTTTAAATAAAAAAGGTCTTCCCTCTCCATCCAATTTTTCAGTGAGCTATTTTGCATAATACTGTGCTCCTGTCTTTCCTTAACTGATTTCAGAGCCACTCTTCCAGTGAATTTGTGCAATTTTAAAATGAACAAATGTTGAACAATAAAAGCTGTTCAAAGCTGCCTTCTCCCCAACCACTATCATCAGCGCTGTCCTGTTCAAAGTGAGTCTCAGTTGTGCCATTAAAGCATAATCCTGCTGCAGCAGACTGTAGGGGAGGAAAAATCATGGCCTTCTCCCCAGCCCTGGGGTCCTAGGTGGGAGCAGTCCCTGTGCGCCCCCAAGTCCAGATCTGCAATTGTGCTGTCCCTTTGTGTGGGAGTGCGAGGCAGAGAGGCCACAAAGGCTCCTTGGACGCATATTTGTTCCCTAGCCAGGTACAATATGTCCTTAAACTGAAAGCACCTCAGGGCAGAGCCCTGTTCATGGTGCTTGTTCAGCACCATGCACACACATGGCGCTGTATGTAGAATAAATAATAACCTATGAATATCCCAATTTGCAGATGTACTGAAGCACCGCTTACCATTTCATACAAAGC